TAGTAGTAGTAGTAGTTAGTACGTACCGGTTTTGTACCAGAGCGTTTTTCAAGTTTCCAGAGAATGGTAACAACTGGTTCAATCTGTTGAAACTTGTCGCTGGAAACCAGTGTGGATAACAGTTGCCAGCAGCAGTGAACAGGATCTTTTCGTTGCAATGCGTAATCATGTAATGTGATCATAACCTGTGGTTCGAGACCGCGTCCCATCACAACTTGCGGGTTGTTCCGAAGCGTCGGTTCGAAATGAAGCTTTTCGTGAGAGGATGTCGCGAGTAATGTTTGGAACAACCCCTGCTTAGGGTCCATTTCAACCGGTCGGGAAATCTGTTTTCGGATGCCAAAGATTGAGCTCCGGAGACAGCAGCAGCCTTTGTGGCCTTGTGCTCAATCGGCACCACAAATGTGCGCCACAGGCCGCGCTACTGTGATTGCAACAAAAATCAGCAGTGCGCAAAAGTTGTGTGGCGGTTGCAGCTGCGGCTGCGACCATAAGAGCTGTGATGGCGGAGAACAAGGGTGAGGAAAGTGTGACTGCGCGCGTCAACTCTGAAAACTGAGGACTTCTTTCTTACTATACAGTCCTCTTTTCGCTTCCATACGGTAGGTTACGGTGCTGTAGCCAGCTGCATTTTCCTGTCCGTCAACAATCGGAAATCAAGCCCTTCTTCAGTGTACCCCTGCACTTGTTGCGGTCCTTCTTCTGTGGATGCGGTGGCATTGGGAATCGAAGCACCTCGTTTCCGGATGGCACCAGTCACTGGAATCGACGGATGGAAGAACACTTACTCAGGTAAGTCTGTTCTCCACGTCTAGGGCACGAAGCCATGTTACACTGTGAATTCCTTGAGTTGAAAACAGTTTGAAGATGAGGTCAAGACGTTGGGTATGTTTACTTATATATTTGCACACATACATACTGTATACATACATATGTGACTCTGAAGAGCGTGGAAGAAACGAAATACTGTACCCATTACATGCCATCAACAGAGCTGCGTCCCAGGGTGAGGCAACCCCAAAGGCACGAGACGCACTAACTGATGGATTCTGATTTCAGGAGTCCATGCCCGAGCTGCCACAGCTATGCCCGATCTTGGTGATAGATGAACATTGCAGGAGTTGCGGAATCGAGTGGTACCTGCCTGAGCTTTGCACACCAGACTGCATCCGATGACAGAGAGGTTCCCAGCGAAATAGTCACAGGCGTCGCCGTTGGCTGCTTCAAAGTTGCAGGCTACGGTAGGCTTGCAGACCGTCTCGGAGACTTGCTGATGATAGGGAACATGAACACGAAGGGCCACGAAGGGACCTCGAATTTGACAGTTGGAAGGTGGCCCAGTGCTTTGCTGCCACATGCCCTGGTAGTCAAGGGCCAACGGTTTCATTACCAATTGCTTCTGCTACTGAATGCTGGCAAAGCTACAAATGCTACTGCTACAAGTTGAGTTGGGGTAACAGCGGACCAGCGGCATCTGCAATGCTGACAACAAAAAAGGTAGAACACGCATTGGCAGGAAGAACCTGTCAAGTGCCGCCGTGGCTAAGGAAGGAGGCTCCACGGACAACAAGCGGAAGATGCCATCGCTCTCAGACACTGATGTGCCACTTCTATTACTGTTACTTCTGTTCGATTATACTATTACGCAGGGCTGGCCTTCCGCTTCCTTTCCTCGTCAGACGACGGTGCAGCCGATGATGATGTCCCAAAGCCAAGCCAAGGTTTGCTATAGCGGCTCGCCTCGGGACCAAAGCCGGCGAGGTTCGAGGTTTATACTCATGAAAGTCTTTGGGCCCACAGACGGGGGTAGGTTTTGAGAGAATTATGTGTTGCGTACGTTGTGCGTTCATGTTTGTTCCGGGGTTTGTGCCGGTTTTTGTCTGTTCCGGGTTTGCATTGTGTTGCACTTGCATCTGTTTTGATGATCCAGGTTTGCATTTTTGGGCGTTTGCATGTTCTTTGCGTTTCGGTTTGTTCCATATGTTTTGCCTTCCGGGGGTTGTTGTTTCTGCATTTCGCGTTGGTTCCGTGTTCCCGTTTTGCACTTTTTGTTGGCATGCGGGGCGCGGCACGGACCGGGCCAGGGCCGGGGCAGGGGCCGGCGAAACTTGCATGGTGATTGTTGCATCCGGCGTTTGCTCTGCATGTTTTTCTCATGTTGCTTGCCTCTCGCAACACACACCCATGCAAACGCCAAAGGCAAAAACAACATCAATGCACAACTTGATGCAAAAAGCACTACCAACAGCACCTGCAGAAAAGACCAGCCAGCATACCTTGACCTTGACCCGGTGCTGGAAAGGCAAGCCGGCAGACCTGATGTGGCAAATATTCTTACCAGCTGTTACCAGCTTATACAATGCGCCGTTAGTGTACACCTCTTCAACTCAACTCCGGCCGCTGTGTCCATTATGACAGGGCTTGGGAATGGCCGAGATGGAACGGAGACGCCAGGGCCGCCAGGAATCCACATGGAGTTGTAGGAGACAAACGGTTCGTGCCCAAGACCAATATTGTAGCGATCATTGCTCAGAACACCTGCAGACGACGCAGTGCATACGTTCAGCGTTCCTTCATGGTTGTCTTGTGCCGGGCTGCCTTGCTGAGCTTTGCAAGCCAGGTTGTCCTGGAGCCCTCCGGCGAAACCTTTGTCAAGGCTGTCATGCTTTATCGGCGATTCTGTTTTACAGCAGCGAGGTGTACCACGCTTTGTGAGTGGCATTCGTCCAGCTGTCGTCGCCCTTGGCAAGCTGGCTGGCTCAATGCTTGGGCTGGAGCTAGAAGTCTTAAGCCAATCGTTTTCGCATCAGCTCACATGTTACAGCCATCTCAGAGGTCTTCAACATGCTATACGAGCAGATGACGGGCAGTGGCCTGAGTATCGAAGAGACTCCTTGTTTGCTAGTCTCCACACATATGGTTTGTTCTCTCCGACCAGGCGTTGCTGATGCCGTCCCCGCCATCAGCACGGTGCGCCAGCTGATGGGACTGCGGCATGTAACCCTCTGCCTTTTTCTCCAGAAATGTTGGTCGCAGTGTGCCTTGCAAATGCAGTGGTTCTTTCTCCGTCTCCCTCCCTATATAGACAACATGCCGAATGCCTGAGCTTCTGCTGGACTCCTGAAGGCTTCATGTCTTCTGAGCCACGCGCCTTGTGCTTCAGCCTGGGCCGTCAGCGAAGTGCTGCAGAACTCCAGGACCAATTCATACCTTTCGGTTCCTTCGTAGGTTTTGAAGATTTACAGCGGTTGATGGGTTGAGGGCCCCCTCAGCCCCCTCTAAGCTCCCTGCTGACTTGTGTTTGCCACGATGTGCTATCAGAACTCGTGCTTTCTGCTCGTTACTAGTGTAAGATAATCGTTGTTATGAGTCACATTGTGAAGTTGCCGGGCACCGTGGGAGCTGCATCTCCAGGATGCCTTGCTTTGGTCCAGGCAAGAGCGCCCCAACCCCTGGCCATCAGCCCCAGTAGGGATTGTTTTGGCTTGGCTTGGTGTTGAGGACAGATGCCTAGCCCATCCTAACCCGCCTTTCGTGGTTGTCAGCCATCATCCTTATGCCTGCAAGACACCGAGGCATCATTGGATGTCGGGCACGGCATCAACGCACAGAATCTAATAGAATGTGGCGCAGGTCACTGTAGCATACCACACTGTACAAGTAATTTCCTTACTGTCATGTTTATTGCCGAACACAGTGCTCATGGCAGTAATGCAGTGATAATGATGATGGTGGTGATGATGGTGATGGTGAGGATCACCCGTGCATATTTGCAAGACAGACAGATAGATGGATGGATGCACGGATGGATGGATAGATTCGGGTTTACCGACCGATTTGTTTGTTGCCGGTCATCGTCATAGCCATAAGCAGCAGACGGCTGCAGGAGCTGGTCCGACCACTTGCGGTCCACGAAGGGGACTCTTGATCTCCACAGTCTGCAAAGTCGTAGTGGGCTATTTAGGGGATCTCCGTACCGTGTAGCTGTTTTGTTGTAGTCATCTTAGGTCTCTTGATCCGCGGTGCAGCTCTTATGTTCGAGTTTCCATGACATATAGTCTCATATAGTCATATGGTGTTTACGACAGCGCTGTTATTTATTGACCCTTGTTGTAGTGGGTGTAGCGTTTAGGCTGGGCTGTGGTTAGTTCGGTTCGTTGTCCAGTGATACTTATCGTCTTGAGTGAGTTTTCAGTGTTGCTGAATGCTCTCGCAGTGTTGCTCGTGCTACGGACATCTCACGACGGTCCTTGTCTGGCAGACGCGTGAAGATCCGAAATCTTGGAGCAACGGCTTGTAGCCAAATCGTGGGCTCTGCTTAGAATGTCGAAAATCTTGCAAACAACCGCTGTGCAGCTGCGGAGTGGGCTTTGATTCTGAATGTTCCCAGCCTCTCCAGACAAGGAAACTGCTGCAGCAAGTGCAGGAGGCAAGGAGTCCTGGAGTTTGATATGACATGCGTTTAGGGCGATTAGGGAGTTCGGGTCGCGGATAGAAGCTTCTGATGACAGGATGCTAGCTGCATCAACCAAGCCCAGAGTGGATGTGCGTCTCAACGAGCAGATAGTCTTGCCTGCAGTGGGTATATGGGTGAGTGTTTGTGCGAGGGACGTAGTGAGGGAGGCAACAAAAGCGCGTCAGTGTTGTGAGTCAGTCAGTGAGTGAGACGGTCGGTCAGAGACACCAAAGAGAGAGAAAGAGAGAGAGACAGAGAGAGCAACAGGGGTCATGCTTCGTGGTAAGTTCCTTTCCGATTTGCTGTGTTTGGATAAGGGGTGCCGACAAAGCCGACTCAGAGGCTGTACAGCCAAGCTCGTGGGGGAAAAACCCCCAGCGAGATCCCTCAAAGCCTGCCAGGACATGCAGGTGGGCGTGCGCGTGCGGGGGGAGGAGCTTGACCTGCCCCGAACCCCAAGCCTGGTAGAGAGAGAGAGAGAGAGAGCAACTACTGCAGTTGTTGTAATCTTCAAACCCTCCTAACAGCTCCGAAACAACGGGCGGGCTTGAATGCCCGGGAGGCTTGACGCGCCCCTTAAGCCTGAGAGAAGAAGAACGAGAGCGAGCGAACCCACTCGAGTTAAAGCACATGTTCAGGGAGTTCTTCCCCTCCTTTGGCCCGGCCAAAAAACAGAGAGACACAGAGAGAGCGAGACTGTAATCGGACCCAAAGATCAATGCACAGCTGTGTGCACGGCGGGTGGGAGCTGACCCCCCAAATTTTGTCTGAGCGGAAGAAGAGCGCGAGCACTTTGATTTTATTTATGCCGTCCTTGTTTCCAGCAAAGTCAGCCCATCGTAGCACACAGGAGGCTTTGTAACTTTATGCTTCAGGTATAGGTAGGGGGGTAGCCTCGTGCTCGTATGCCAAGATGATCTTCTGGTGCTCCTTAGATTGCAGGCAGCACCTTTCCTCACGAATCTCCACGGTAAGTAGCACAGTCGACACATGATGACACGTGCAGCCAGCACAACGACAGGCGAGGAAGAGCGGCGAAAACAAGGACTGGTTGCCAAAATGATAAAGTGTGGGAGAGAAGGAAAAGGCAGCCAGCGTGTCGTCCCCCCTCTAGAAGGGAGCTCGAGTGAGAGAGGCTGAGGGAACGATGGGGGAGGGAGCCCCCCATGTGCCATCGGCGGGGCGGGTTTGGGCTTGACTCAACAGAAACATCTGAGAGAGCTGAACTCACTTCGCCGGCAGCAGGCACAGCATCTCGCTGTCGAAACGCAACGGCCTCAATCGTTCTTTGTCGTAAACTGTCACATGGACATGCACGATGCCTTGGTCGTCGGGAAGACGGGCTTGTGCTGACGGTTGGATGAATCGATCAGATCGGGTTGGCCCAATCATGCTAGTTCCAAATCACATAATCGAAACTTTACGTGAATCCGATCCAGAGGATTGGGGCGATTAGGTTTCCTAAGCTCCGGATTTATGGATGGATGGAGGCTGGAATCGCTGGAGTAATTAATGCCTTTCGAAGCAGGTAAGGAAGGGCTGGTACCGAGACCCGTCCGCCACAAGGAGCTCGAGTCGGGGCCTTGTACTCTGTGACATGTGCACTTAATGGCAGCTGCGAGGTATGAGCCGTACAGGCGAATCTACGCCTACCAGCGCGACTGGGACAAGGTGTCCATGGAGCTTCACTGTGTTGCAACTGCTTTCGTGAGGCAATTCTATGATGCTTGAAAGGCAAGCTTCAGCGAGCAGCCTCACACCTTCGAGTCCTTGTCGGAGCAGGCTTCCTCAGGGTAAACTGCACGTGAACTTTTGGAGACTGGCGGAACATGATTAAGATATCTTGGGCCAGCTTGGAATGCTCCCTGGGCCAGTGCAGGCAAACCAGTCTTCAGTAGTTGTCCACGAGTCCCTTGCCGGAATAGCGTGATGCGGGGTCTTTTTAGGCACCGGAATGGAGTGGCTTGTGTGCAGTGGGTAAGGTGAAGTTCTGCTAGATGGGTTACAGATGAGCAAGCTGGTGGTCACTAAGCCTGGTCCCGGCTGGGTGCCACATCCTCGGCCCGCCAAGTTGTGAAACTCCGTGTCCAAGGACGAATACCCGTTGAAATGTCTACGTATACTTATACAAGGATATATATATGTATATATATATACACGCACATACACATATAGATATACAATATGTTTAAAATGTATATGTATGTGTATATATATATATGTGTGTGTATAGTTCGTCCCGAGTTGTGAGAGCGTAATAGTTTACATAACATATGTAATATATAACACATACACATACGTATATATATATATGTATACATACATATAGATATGCATGTTTATATATATATATATATGTTTATGTATATGTATATGTATGTATGTACGTGTATATATATATATGCATATGTACTTTATCATAGACTCGATGCCCGGAACAATGCACCTTCAAATCAAAGCTCCCGAGCTCAACATGCGAGCTTTTGCATGGAGGTCGAGCTGATGGGCCGGTTCCAGGCCATGACAAAGCCTGGTGAAGTCTAGCTCTGTATGCAACAGGGGGTAGGCCGGGTAGGCCGGGTGGCTGAGTAGCAGTACTCTCGAATGCGAAATAGGCGGTCCGGGTTACAATCAAGCTGTAGGGTTAATTAAGGGCTTTGGGTTTTGAAGAGAAAGGTGTGCATAAGTTGTGTTTGATTGTCCTGGTCTTGTATTTTCCGAAGCAGACGCCCACGAGTTTACAGAAGTTACAAAGTGCAAATCCCAAAACCTGCACGAACATATTATGAACCCCACATTTCCAGGAGAAGCTGAACAAGTTCCGAGTACAGCGCCACTTGGGTGTGCTGGTTCTCGAGGACACGCCAGGGACCGGACAGAAGTGAGGTTTTGGCATGGGGGGTGTCGATCCCTGCGTACTTCATTGCAAACGCCTGCTTGGATTGCAACCTCGTGCAAACCTGCATAGTCCGCCTGTGCCTTATAAAGAGACGAACTGTGTGCGAGTCGAAAGCAACGAACTGTTCGTGCTCATACTAAGAAGTACTTGTTCGGTTGACCACACCCCCGGAGCATCCCATTCCGTTTGACACACTAGACTTGCCAAGAATGCAGATCTAAGCAACAGTCAGCCCCCTCAAAAGGCACGCGAGCTTCGAGATCAGCTCTTGCCGGCCTTGGCCTCAGATTTTTTCCAATGCTTCTGAAGTTTCGGGTGTATGTTTCCATTGGCACAGGCATTCCAGACAAGTTTGTGTCCGAGTACGAACTTGTCAGCTAGACTAGCTGCTAATACATCCACCAGGATCCTGAAGCTTTGCATCCAATGCGCGCAGTAGGCTCTCAATCTGTCATAAACGACGCGCGCAACTTTGCATGGATCTCATTGCGCGAGTTTTCAGTGGAGCAAGGCCGAAAATCCCGTCGGTTTGTGGCTCAAGTGTCGCGATGCCTTTCATTAGAGGAGGAGTGGGGTCGGGATGTTAAAGCACTCGTTGAGCTATGGCTGGTGCAGAACCAGAACCGTTCCTTGACGACGAAGCAGCTTACGCGCTTTGCACAGTTGTGTTTAGCTGCCGTTTCCCTGATTGCGCATCCTGGTCTTGAGGTACGCCGGAGTCGACATGGTGCATGGTGCCATCGCTGTCAAGGCAGGCTGTTGCCGTCTGCGCAGCTTGAACCAGACAAGAAACGCTCACCGTGAGCATAGTCTAAGATCAAAAATCAAAACGTCTCGCACGAGTCTAGACTCGCCGCCCCTTTGAAGATGAAACTGCTGTTGCAACAAGTGACCGAACGGGTCTCTGCATAAACGAGCCACTGACAGGAGCAGTTCCAGCTCTTCGATGACAACGAGACCGGCACAATTGCAACTCGCTATGAACGAGACACACACATACACACACTCGCACGTCGCTCCAGCGATCCATCTTGCAAGTATTCGGCGCAGAGTCCAATATGAAGTTGTTATTCGGGTCGTTGACGTCGGGCACGGGACAAGGGGACAACACCGAAACCCGAATAGGTGGGTTTCAATAGTTCCATGATTTGAGAGGTGAGGAAGGGAAGCTCGGAACCAGCCGTCGGGAATCAGGATTGACCCGAAAGCCCTGCCTGGTCCTCCAGCCTACAGCATGATAACTAAGGGCAAGGAGGACCTCAGATCCTTGATTCAGAATTTGGGGCACTTCGATCCCGACGAAATCGACAGGACACTGCCTTTCAGGGGCGCGCCTGAAGCAACTTGTTTGAGGGGGTCATGATGTGCTTTCATTGCAGAGAAATGGAGTTGGATCATCATCACATCGGCAAGCTTCCTTTCGGCAGATGTGCTGACAGCAAGGGAACCTGTAGCAAAGAACATGAAGCTGGGCAGGGGAAAGAACTAGGCCAACAAGCACACATGCACTTCGCCAAAAACTGTTCCGTTCTGTTGTGTGCTGAATAGGACGAATAGGACTTGCAGACAGTTCAGTGCAGTAAGTGGGAGGGGGTGCGACCGGTCATTGCTTTGGCTTGCACTGCTACACAGCCCCGTTAAGCACCACTGGGAGGGTGCCTCTTGGAAAGAGCATTGGCCCGAATAACGAAGCCGCACAGGATCTTGAATATAGCCGTCGGAGACGATGGTAATGAGATCATGTACGAGTCGTTCATCGACTGGGCATTCAACAGTGCCAAGGTGTCTGTCCGCATTAGTTCGGCTGTGTGGCATTCGATGCACACGCGGTTTCCGCCTGATTCTTTGAGTGTGGTGCAACGCAGGTCATCGAGCACCGGAAGGATCGACTACGCAATGTGAAGTTGTTCCAGACTCTCGACACGATGCGCACAGTTTCTGGCATTGCCAGCGGCTAGCGGCTAGCGTCGCTCACAGCAGTGTCGATGTGAGTCATGCTGATGATGCTGACGACGAAGATGATGAAGGTATTGGTCGACGACTGCGAATGCTACAATTACAACTGTCACTGTTTCCAGGACAGTATTACTACCATGGTGAGGGCGACTGTAAGACGGCGAGTACGACGGCACGTCCGCTGTCGTGTTGCCATGTATTGCATTGCTTGTCCCAGTTGCTAGGGTTGTGAAGCCGGCTCAGCCGAACTCTAGGGATTGTTGAAATCTATATTTTGTTCGACAAGTCGTAAACAATGGGTTCCAAAATGCAAAAACAATGGGTCCCAAAATGGGTCCGGCTCCCGAAATGGGTCCAAAAATGGGTCCGGACTTGGAAATGGGTCCGAAGACCCATTTGCGGACCCATTTTTTTGCATTTTCCAGCGTTTTTTGCTGGTTTCGGCACCCGGACCCACTTCTGGACCCATTTTTTTGTTTTATTTTTCCTGGTTTCGGCCCGCCAGACCCATTTTCGGACCCATGTTGGTACCCATGCTTGGGATCAATTTCTCGCAATTTTCCACAGGAAAGTGTGAATAAATGGGTCTAAACCCATTTCCGGACCCATTTTCGCAATTTTCAATCGGCAAATTTTTCGCAATAATATTAAATCCCACGATTCCTAGAGTTAGGCTAATAGGCGGCTTCACAATGCTAGGGCTATTGTCACTCTGGCTTGAGCTAACGGTGTTCCCTTTCTTTGTGACAGTGTTCGGTTCAGCTATGGGTAGCAGCAGGAGGAGGAGTAGTGGTAGTAGCAGAGTAGGAGTAAGGGCGGCAGTAGCGTCGTGGTAGTAATCGTCGTCGTCGCAGTGGTAGTAGAAGGTAGGAGGACTAGTAGTAGTAGTAGTAGTAGTAGTAGGAGTAGTAGTCGTCGTCGTAGTCGTAGTCGTAGTCGCAGCAGCAGCAGCAGCAGCAGCAGCAGCAGTAGGAGTAGTAGTAGGAGTAGGAGTAGTAGTAGTAGTAGTAGTAGTAGTAAGTAGTAGTTAGTAGTAGTGGTAGTAGTAGTAGTAGTAGTAGTAGTAGTAGAGTAGCAGTAGTCGTCGTCGTCGTAGTAGTAGTAGGAGGAGTAGTAGGAGTAGTAGGAGTGGTGGTGGTGGTGGTGGTGGTGGTGGTGGTGGTGGTGGTAGTGGTGGTGGTGGTGGTTGGACCAGCCGAAGTAAGACCGGTGGCGGTACGAGTAGGAGTACTGTGGAGGGAGGGGCAGTAAAAGTACAAATAGCTGCATGCAGTGGTGAGCAGTGAGTGGTAAAGCTCGAAATAGAACTAGACGCACATGTAGTTCGCGCTGGTTGAGTGGTCACTGGGAAGTATTCGCGGTCATGGTCATACGTCGAGGGCGCTGCTAGCCTTGATTTCAAGGCCACGGCCAAGGGTGCAGATGGTGATCATTGACTATGATTGTGGTGATGACGTAGACAAGGAGACGATCATTGCGATCAGTGGTAACATTGTCGCTTTTGTCAAGCTGCTGATGGCGGCGATGCGGAAGATCCCGAGAAAGATGGTGGGTTTAAGGTGGCTGCCATGAAATTGAAGACTCTGGTGGTGATACGGACAAAGGCGTACGTGTACGATGATGGTGATGGTGGCGTTGTGAGTGATGCTTCGACTCGCGAAGAGCCCGCTGGTGGTGATGTACAGTAGCGACGACGAGAATGACGGCGCTTAGTAGTGCGATGTTGAGTTATCGTCCACTCAGCTAGACCATGCCTCAAGGAGTTCAGAACATTCGTGAAGGCTAGGTAGGAGCTAGGCATCGTCCTTGATATTTTTTCGCTTGCTCAGGAATTTCGCGCTCCTGGCGAACTTGAGTTATGTTACAGATTTTAGATTTTGCATGTATTGGAGTCCGCTAAAAGCCAGGCCTGGGAAGTGCACTTCGAGTGTTGTTGTTGGTGCTCATGAAGACTAGACATCGGTGCAGAGGGCATTGCGGGAATGCTGCGGCTAGCGGCTGCAGTGGCGATGCACAGTCGATCGAATGTCCACATTCCATCGATCCAGCTGTAAAGCTTCTGCCATTGCACGCCAGGGAGAACTCGAAATAGAGGAATGCGCCAAAGTCCTGGAGCCGCTTCGACTGAAATCTGAATGCTCTTTCGGACGTTGCCGTAGTGAAGCAGCAGGTGTGAACTGCATTTCGGCCTGAGCCGGTTGGGCAGTTGTAGGGCAGTAGGTGCGTCGCTAGTGCAGCCCCGATCTGAGGCTCGTCACCTATGCGGCCGCTGCATCGCATGTAGTAGACGGAGCAAGACCTAGGGTTCGTCTGAGAGAATTGCAAGGTAAAGCTTGATGCTACGCATTGGCGCTTCCCTTTGGATGGCTTGAAAGCCCTCAAATGAGAACTTGCTTCCCCGTGATGCGATGGGTCTCACCGACCGTTTGCCCCAGGCTGGCCAGGATATCATCACGCAAGGCCTCCCCAGCTGCAGAGTAACAACTTTTGGGTTTTATTTGCACATGCAATCAGTTTGAAAGGCTGCAGCATCGCATGTCAATATCATGGCTTTTTGTCAACTGTTGCGAGTAATATTGAACCATTTCTGCCATCAGCAATATAAGGTGATGAAGGCTTCGACTGTTACATCGTCGATGCAGGGGAGTGCTTCGCGAAGATCCAGGTGCACAACTTTGGGCTCAGTATTCCTGAGAGCCTTGAAGCTTCACGTACTCTTTGGGGCAATGCATAGTACTCCCTGCGAGATGGGCAGCAGCTTTTGTTGCGATGGCTACGTCGAGGGGCATTTACTCAGACCCAGGCGCAGGCCACAGGCTAGTACTGCCCCGACATTGCAATCCTGAAAGAACGTATGATACCTGAGCTGGCATTGGACTGCTCAGCTGTCTTTGATGGCCCTTCTTGCGCTGTTCGGGCGACTATTCCAAAGCTTCCGTTTCTCGAAAATGCATGATAAGTGAAACCCTGTCTGGTAGCCGAGGCCATGACAGCGTTATGTGGTTGTCATGCTTCTTCTGATTGCCGCTCCCGTTTGCCATCCCTCGATCTGTTTCCCTGCTCCGAGATCAGCGGCAAGTGGAAGGAGGTAGTCCGATACGAGCCGGGAGGCAGCGCTGTCAGACCAGTGAGTTTCATCGTGTATATAAGCTTTCACTTCAGGAGTGTGAGGCTCTGTAGGGTTCCTTTAAACATAGACTTAGTGCCATGTGGCCCTGGCGTGAGCTCCAGGGACCGGAGGAATTGCGAGTCACTGCATGGAAAGGGCTTATCTGCGGATGTTCCCTGTGCCAGGATTCTTCGGTGAGCGAGCCCTAC